AATTATGTTGAATCTCAAATGCAAATTTTAAAGTGAAAAAATATTTGGAAAATGGTAAATGGTCTGTATTTGATATAGCGCCTTCTAGAGTCCTGGAACCCCCCAAGGTGCTTTACAACACGATCAGTCATTCACCCATTCACACACACATTCACACACTGGTGGGGACGAGCTACGATGTAGCCACAGCTGCCCTGGGGCGCACTGACAGAGGCGAGGCTGCCGAGCACTGGCGCCACCGGTCCCTCCGACCACCACCAGCAGGCAACGTGGGTTATGTGTCTTGCCCAAGGACACAACGACAGCGACAGACTGAGCGGGGCTCGAACCTGCAACCTTCCGATTACGGGGCGAGCTCTTAACTCCTGTGTCAGAAATGACATTTAATTTGGTGTCAGCCAGAGAAAAACAGCTTATCGAGATCATTGTTAAATTATATATATATATAAATATAAATATATATATATATATATATATATTTATATTTATATATATATATATATCAGCAGGAATATAAAAACAGGCATTTAAATGTATTTACCATATTTTTATGACAGAATTTAAAATATTTTTGTTCTTGTGATTTATTTAAAAGCACATTTATGCAGAATCTTTACAGCAGTAATCATTTTTTTATTTTTCAGCCTTGATTATTAATTTGCTGCTGGATGGCTCTTGTGACTGAATGATTCCTCTTCCACTCGCATTTAGCCGTCATAACTAACAAAGGCATAATGGATCTGGCACATAAATCACAATAATAAATGCAATTCATTTAGCAGTGTTCACAACATTGTTACAGAGTGTTTTAGGCACACTGGCAGTAAATAACAACTTGTGTGAAATTAACATATAAATGCTAAACATGAATTTGTAATGCAGCTTAAACAAGAGCAAGAAATGATTGTTAATTAATGACAAATCACATAATGGCTTGACAAGGACATGTCTAGACATGCTTAAACAGATTTTTCTCTGTTGTCAAATTTAAAGAAGCACATTTTTGAGGATGGAAGTAAAAAACATATAAATCCTCCAAAGGTATCAGGTTCATCTTAATTTAGATGCCACATAGACCTGCAGAGCAAAGCTGCTGCAACGATGGTTTCTGCAAAACGGAAGGATGATGCATCTAAAACAGATTAAACATATATATCACAAAATAACCATTTTTATCTTGAGATGATCTTGCTTCCTCTTAATTGTGAAGCAGGATGTTTACAGTAAGTAAAGAAAGGAGATCACCTGACGAACGTTCTCCCGGTGAGATGAAAGGGCTGGAGCTCTGAGAAATGCTGCTTCTGAAAGGTGCCTGGAGCATAACTGCTTCTCTGCAGTGGAGGGGAGGGGAGGTCAGGGAAAGTTCACTCGAATGAAAGGAGTCTCGGCATGATTTGTTTTAGACATCTTTTAAATAATCTTTCCGTTTTCTTGCATCACATTCTTCTAAACCTGTGAGGCACCGGGTGGTTGAAACCAACGTCTTAACTGAGAAACCCTTTGTGAGCTCAAACTCGAGTTTTGTTCAGGCTAAATGACAGACAGTGATGTATTTAACTGGAGATTCCATTTTAATTCCCAATAAATCTTAAAACTGTGTATTTGTCCACAGGCGCAAAGCGTCACATCTGAGTGGGTGTTCTGCATCGCCGCTGCATGAGTAGCAGCTTGATCGGTGTGAGATCATGCACGAACCAAACAGCTTTTAACTGTAAACTCAGAACTGGACGTAATCAGTCGATTGTGGCTGCTTCAGAATGGTGCAGGACGACAGGAAATGAAAAGTATTTCGGTTGTTCTCTGATTCATGACCACATCCAGGGAGCTCTCAGTCAAATTATTAATATGTGGAATTAGAAATGCCAAAACATGTCCTTACAACTATCTTCTTCATAAAATAATCTATTTTAATGTTTTATTGGCATCGCCCGACATGTTTTTACATTTAACATTTTAAAATTACTTGCAGCTTTGCTTAATTAAACAGCTTATTTGATGTTTTGTGGGACAGCAGTAGCTCAGGAGGTAGAGCAGGTTGTCCAGTAGTCAGAGGGTTGCAGGTTTGGCCCCGGCTCCGACCAGAGAGTGCTGCTGTTGTGTCTTTAGGCAAGACACTTAACCCGCCATGCCTGCTGATGGTGGTCAGAGGAACCAGTGGTGCCAGTGTTCGGCAGCCTCGCCTCTGCCAGTGCGCCCCAGGGCAGCTGTGGCTACGTTGTAGCTCATCATCACCAGAATGGGTGGATGACTGTGTTGTGAAGCGCCTTGCGGGATTGTAAAAGCCTATCAGAACCCTAAGAAGGTTCTATACAAATACAGGCCATTTACCATTTTTGGACCTTAAAGAGGCCCTAGAGCTTAAAACCACCTTGCTGTTGCAGATTTTAGGCAGCGTGGTGTGTCTAATGTAGCGTACCAAAATGTCTGAGTCATCTCCAACCTGCTTTTCTGAGTGATTTATGATGTCGTAATGGCCACGGAGAAACGGTTCGTTCTGAGAAAAGCTCGTTTAACACATCCTGAGATTACACCCTTAAAATTCCCAACCCACTTCAGTAACGGCAATGTGTAAATGTTGGTCACAGTAATGCTAACCGCAGAGCAATGCTAGCTCTGAGCTACCGTTAACACTATCCCAAGCTATGGCTCATGCTAGCTCTGAGTTACTACCAATGAACTCACCAAGGTACAGCTAAAAATAGCCTGAGCTACTACAGGGAGTTTCTCAAAGTCAAGGCGCCTGGCCTTGTGAGGCGATGTCTTGCGAGGCCAGGCGCCTTGCTTATGAGGACACTGTCCTTGGTCAAAGAAAACTGTTAAATGGAACAGACTTGCATTACGTCACCGCGGCTTCCACGGTGGTCACGTAAAGTCACGTGACACGGGAGATAACGTTATATTTTATACGAATTAGTTTCTATATAAATGTATAATGAGACTTTTACTTTTTAAATTATGTATATGTTTATTAAATTAAATATATAAGTGAGTTACTACCCGCTAGCCACCGAAGCTGCAGCTACTAAGCAACTAACCAACCATAGATAACTTCTTTGGATCTAAAAAACCATTTTAAATTAGTTGACTTTCTTTTAAATTTGAAAATCTTCCCCGAAGTAGCTGCCGGCTTCTGATCCGCCGTCCTTTTGAAAATACTGCGGTGTATTCTGGGTAATTTTTGACCAAGGCTAGGCTACAAGACACCTCCAGTGTATCCTCGCTCAGCTAGCTAAACGGCTAACAAACGGAGAACACACGCTCGGTAGAACATGAACATTGGAACACGTCTTGGTGGCTCCCGATGACGTATCTCCTAGGCAACCGGGGCGGGGCCAAGACATCAAGACAAGGCTCGTTGGCATTAAGAAACACCCAATGTTTTCTCCAAGCTACTGCTAATGTTAGCCTGAGCTACTGCTAACGTCCTTGTTGGACAAGAGGAGCAAATGAATGTCAGACCACTCATGTATCGCTCCAGGATGTTTCCTGTGGATAAATACCAGATAGATGCACAGCTTTCAGTCCTTGTCCTCTTGATTATTCATCGTTCACCCTGTAAACCAGCCAATCAGCACCAAGTTCATTTACTATTCATGTCTTGGCCGAATGGGTGTGGAAAACCAGTCTTTATTATGGAGCTGTGTTTGGTTGTTTATCAGGGCTCCTGAGGCTTTGGGAGCCCCATTTCCATATGTAAAATAAAAACTTATTCTAGGACATCTTTAAATCTAAATATACATAATTACTGCAAACGTCTGCTGATAATACTAGAGAATCATCAGAATTCACCATCTACACGTGTTAAATAACTTCTAAAAATTCCTGCAATCCGTCAAAAAGTCATTGAGATATTTCCGTCCGGATCAAAGCTGAGGACGAGGCATCACGCCGACATCGCCGTGCTGCTGGAATGGATCAAAACCCTTCTGCTGTTCTCTCAGCCCTTTGAACTGAAAACAGAGGATCTGGATTTAAGCACCCCCCCCCCCCCCCCCCCCTTCTATTTCTTGCTTTCTCCGGGCCTGCGTGCTTAGAGGGCCCTTTCACCATTCCACACTTGAGAATGTCTCGCTTAATCCTTCATTCCCATACTGTAGGAGAGTGAGAGTTGGAATTAAATATAGGGACGGGGATGGGGGGGGGTAGTCTCCGTACCGAGAGAGCACGGACCAGATGGTGAGTTTAGGTCTGAGATCTCAGCACCTGGAACCGTGTTTGTTAGGCACCGCTTTAATCAACAACTTACCCTACGCCCTTCATATGCATTTTGCTCATTTAGCACTATGAGGTGCAATAGAAATCTTATTTATTCCAAAAATAATTGCCTGACGCTGTCCTCCCTATCGTGCACAGTTCCCCCTGGACACAAAGCAAAAGCATGTAATGAACCAAGTCGTGTTCTATAAAGTTTTTGTCTCAGATGGAATGACTTATATTCATTTTGAGAGCACTTTCTAGTTCAGCACCTTACTTGGACAGTTTTCATATCAGTTGTAAAACCTTTCATTGCTCCACTGCGCCTCCTCTTCACCGCAGCAGACAGCGACACTGTGACTGAGTGGAATTTGGAAACTTGTGAAGTGTCAGACGAGGTGCTCGAGAGCACTCTAACGCTTCATGAACGCATCCTTTCTTCCCATTTGTGCTCCTGTTGTTTAACGTTTGACACCAAACCGGTCTGCATAACCTCTCCTCCACGCCGCAACAGCGTACGAGCTCTCAGCGCTTGAATAATTCCTCAGGTTTTCTCTTATTTTTTGGTGCATAAACATGTTAAAGTCTAATTGAAGCCATGAGGAGATAAACTGCCAACATCTTCATTTGGGTGTCTTTGGCAGACAGAAGAATGGTTTTTCACTTGATTTGTTGGTTTTAAAGCATACCGTTTCACAGATGAAGGCCTCAGGTAATTATGAATGGTATTAGCTCAATGGCACGGCGGCAGCAGATGCTCCATGGTAGCACAGACTGATGGGGCATTTGCTTGTTTCTTCTCACAGTCTACGCTGAAAGGAGCTAATCTCACTGTGTTTGGCTGCCTTAACCACGGAATGCCTCTGTTCTTGCGGGAAAACTCATCGCCGAAGTGTGAATCAGGTAGGTCCCGTTTAAAGTGATGTCCTTTTAAACTGTTTGTTTCAGGAAGGATTAGAAACAAAAAACATCCTTAAAGCTCTTTAAACAACTTTATTTTGGGGAAAAAAATATGAGTTTTCACTGGATTGACAAGCTAATGACTAGTGACAGCTTGGGTTTTTAATTTAATGCAATTAGTATTTCATGATCTTCTATTGGTGAAATTAGCAAATAAATGGTTATTTATAGAGAATTATGCAGTTATTTGGAGTAAAATGAGCTGATCTAGAATTTTGTAGAATTTCCAGTTGTGTGTGTTCTACCCCGGCGTTTTTCCCGTGACCTCGGCTTTGCATCCCTTCCCAAAGCGAGTGTTTCAGACCACTGACTGTTTATGTCAGATGGACGAACTCTTCCCACTGTGGCCCATGCATTTCTAAAGAGCTGGATTCAAGTCCAGTGGGTGGTTCCTACCACCGCCATCTTGGCCGTGTCACGCAACTCATCATTTCAGAAAAAATAAATAAAAATTGAGCTGAGAGTGAGGCTGTGAGGGTGGGGGAAGATGACAGAAACCCATCAAACTCTGAGCCAATGTAGCTATGAGCTAACTGAAGCTAACAGAGATTGGCAGGCACTTTTATTCGGGAAACCGCAGTTTTCTACCATCTGACTAACAGTGGCTGTTAGCTGCGTTTTACTCTCTCTTCGTAGACATTACACAATGCTTACGTGTCTAGTAGAAAGTCGGGGGAACACTTTCTGCTGACAAGTGATATTCCTTCTAATGGGAAAACATGTCAGATGCCAGGATACATTTTGGAGCAACTGTTTTTTTTTTAAAAAAAGTGTTCAAACTGTTAAGAAAATCTTTAAATTAGAGCGATTTTAGGAAAGCAGGACCTACTCTCACTAGCTGTTACAACCGGATCTAAGCTCTTTCTCCAGAACGAGGTTCGTTAAAGCAAATGTTCATTGTTAATAACCTTTCCAAAGAAATCTACTTCAAGTGATTCCTTGAACCAGGGGTGCCCAGTCCAGGTCCTGGAGGGTCAGTATCCATCACGTTTTAGTAGTTTCCCTGCTCCAACACACTTGATTCAGTGGTTGAATCACTTGTTCAGCAGCTCAACAGGCTCTGCAGAGGTCTGTTAATCGGTGGCGGCTCGTCCATAGGGGGCGCTAGGGTGCCGCCTCGCCAGTCTCACAGGAAGAGAAAGAAAAACATAGAAATCGTAAAATATATAACAAAATTATTAATCAGCTGCCACTGCTGTTAATCACCTGCTGATTAAAATCAGGTGTGTTGGATACCGGCTCTCCAGGACCGGGATTGGGCACTCCTGCCTTAAACGTTTAAAAAATAACTTCATTTCTCTCTAAATCTTTGTCTAAACGGTTTAATGTTGACTTTTCTTCAGAGTCGGCGGCCGGGTTCTTCCTCTCTGTGAACGTGTCTTCTAATATGACCAAACTGAGGATTCCCTACCCACAAACAGGAACTTGGTACCTCGGTCTGCGCTCTCTATGTGCCACTGAACACGGGTGAGATTGCCTCTAGCTGCTTCACTGGAGAACTTAATGTGTCGTTGTTAAAAGAAACAACAGAGACACATTAAAAAAAGAACATCTTTACTGTCTTTACATGGAAAGGGAGACGCTGAGATACGTTTAAGGAATATCTTAACTCAACGTTGATGAATAAAGTCATTTTTATAGCTTCATGCTGAATCTGCTGGGTTTTAGAGGTGAGTTCAACTGAAACAGGAAGAGCAGCTTGATCCATACGTCCAAATCTTTCTGAGAACACGTGAGGAGTTTCTACTCCTACCTCATTTCCTGAACAACTAGCTGTGCCTTTAAAATGGAAACAGCTTTATAAATTGTAATCCCTGGAGGTTTTAACCAAGAAAGTCTAAAATAAAACATGATTTACAAGCAAAAATTCACTGAGTGCAGTTGGCTGACTGTTGCTCATAAATTTTTGATAGTCTCATAATCAGTTCAGGCTTGGTCCCAACACCCCACAGCAACCCCTGCGAGACAGTGTTTACAGTCTATTGCAGGAAGACAATCTCAAAACAAGACATAAAATATTTGTTATAGCACATCTTCAAATTATCATCGCTGCTTTGTTTACCAGAATTAATATTTATTCACACTAATATAAAATAAATATCAGCCAGTGGATCAGCCGGAGCCTTCACATGGAAGATAGATTTAAAAAACAAAGGTTATGTTTAAACATCACGGCTAAAACTGCATTTATTTTAAAAACTCAGATTCATGATGTGTTTATTATAAAAGCCAAATACATGGATGGGTGAAAAATGTTCCCAACTTAATAATAAATAATCAAAAGTCTTTCATTTAACACCTGCAAACATAATTTAATGGACGGCTCAGGAGTCCATGAGTGTTACAACCCGGTGATGGTGAAGAAGGGTGAAGCACAAAGAAAAGCATGCGTGAGAAATAGCCATAAGTAAAAGTTTTATTTACAGGAGTTCATAAGAAAGCTAGATGGGTTAAACAACTACACAATCTCTGTAGTTAACATAACACTACAACTCAGAAATCTCTGAGGTAATCAGAAAGAATTACAATCAAACCCTAAAATGGGTTCTGACCTTTAACCCCCTCAGGCTCAATATAAGTTCTGATAAAAGGACAAACAACTAAGTCCTTCAGGGGTTCTTCTGAGTAAAAAAATGCTCATGAAACACGTGTGTGGAGTAACCAGGTAGGCAGATTTTAACGTTGCTGATCTGCAACGCCTGCCTCCAGAGGGTTAAAAGTGAGAAAAACAACTCTTAATCAAACATACTTAGGATATTTCAAGGTATTCATGTACAAACTAGAAAATCAGCATAAGGGCTTAACAGCTGCAAACACATATTGTCAGCGCCGGTCTGTAGCTCTTAACACTAGAAAAACAAGGGACCTCCACCTTAAAAAGGAGAACCGGCTATTTGGCTATCCAGATCACCATGCTTTAACAATGTGATCTGAGGGCATTAGAGCACCACTGAGACCCACACGGGTCTGGCAGCCTGAGCTTTTAAAGAGTTGGGATCAGCTGCAGCCAAAGGGAGGCGGGGCAGAAGCAGGGGCTTGACAGAGCGCTGTCCATGGTGCTGAAACAGGGGAACAGAGGGTGTGCTGTCCAACGTGCTGAAACAGGGGGAGCAAAAGGAGCGCTGTCCATGGTGTTCAAGCGGGAACCACAACAATGAGCTTTACAGCCTGAAGACAGAAAGTTGTCCACGTGGTGAGGCTGCTCAACCTTCAGCCTGAGGGTGAGAGGGTGAACAGTTTTTAGGCTGGATTGATAGCGTATGTTCCTGGGATGTTTGTGGCTCTGCATCTGCTGGTGTAAATGTTCTTTATAGAAGTGAGACTGCATATTGACCTATGTTTTGTAATGCCTATTCAGTCCCAGAGCAGTTACCAAATGGTTGTTGAACATCTCAGGATGCTTTTCTCCTCACTGAACAACAACATATTGAAGACGCTGGCATTTTAAAAGTGAAGTTATTGGTGGGCCTTTTGAGTTATGATGGAATGCTCAAGCCCCAGTATTTATAGTTTCCAGAAGCTGCATAACATTTTCTCTAATTATAGTAAAGTTTATTTATACAGCACCCATCACAGAACAAAACCACAAAGTGCTTCACAAATTACATCAAAATAAAAAAGGTTAAAAGACAAAAGAGAATATAGATATTTAATAAGATCATTAAAACAAACCATTAAAGACAATTAAAAAAATATGAGTAGAGGAAATGTGGAAGCTTTTTATCCAAAGTTCTCCAGGTTAGGCCAACAACAAGAGTGTTGCCTGCAAACATCATGTCAGAGTGCTAATGGTAACATGTACAGGAGGGGGCTGAGGACACAACCTTGTGGTGCACCTACAATCTAAAAAGCTGAATTGAGCTGAGACTTCATGATTTAATTGTTTTCTTTAAATACATTTTGGACTTTACTTTAAAAAGAGGTTTTTAATCATTTATAGACTTGATAATAATTTCTAACATCATAATTGTCATGGATTCTCCAAGCGTCTTTCCACCTCCAAGAAACATTTCTGGTAGAATTTGAGAACAGCATTTCCATATAACTTCATGTTTTTTTAAAAGTTTGTGCATACTTCCAGCAGATTGAGATGTTTTTCCAAATATTTAATGACCCAAAAATGTGAACAGAATTAGACTTTTTCTTCACCCTCCTGCTGCCCCTCTGGAGAGCTCCAGCTGAATTTGAATTACCGATATAAACAGATGGTGTGGGACATTCTCATCCTCACTCGAAAGCTTAGCTATGAAAATGGTGACAACGCTCTCATGGATGTGTGTTACATTTCACACTTTTAGTTAGACATGTTAAATCAGTCCAGTCGTGCAATAGAAACGGAGCCGTACTGGGAACGGTGGCAGGTCCTTTTCAAGGCTGCAATTAGCTTGATTGATGCAATACAAAAATTAAGAAAGGAGCAATTTTATCGTTAACAAATTTAAGCATTCTGGGAAAAGACTAGAGCATATTTATTATCTCCTGGAGTTTCATTTTTTATTGAATGTCAAATCTTTCCCTTTTGTTTGTTGTGATTTTAAAGATAAAGAAACTAGGTTGATTGCAGTTGCAGTTACATGAACAGCACTTGTGTTTCGTTTGAAATAGCTTTTTGGGAAAGTTATAAATGGAAAAAAACAGCATTTTGATTATTTGTAGAGCATTTGTGAAAATCACGCTTTGGCCAGGTAATCAAAATATCTCAACTTTTCCATTTTGGCTTGTAGAGCAAGCATCATTTACAGAAAGCCGCTTTTGTGTTTTCTTCATAGAGACGAAAACTGCTCAAGCTGAATGAGACAAAGTTGTGTGACATCCATGAAATGGAAAAGAAAACATTTAAATCTCTAATATGTCTTGGAGAAAATGACTCCACACTCAGAACAAAACAGGGGGCTCCAGTGAAATATGGATGTTTGCACTGTAATGCGTGAACATTTACATTTATTATGCAGATGTGATATTTACTAAAATCATTCATTAAGTAAACCATCTTATTGTTTACGCTGGTCATTAACACTAAACAGGAGGCTCAGTTAACGCTGGAAGTGTGGCCTTTCATGATTATTATGTTATCAGCATCAATTAACATTTATAAAATAGATTTCTCTTCAAAGTCGCAACACCGCAGAGTGCTACAGAAGCGGCTCTGCCAAATGTACGTTAAAATGTTGGCAAACAAAGGTGCTAATTACACAAATTTAACTGAAAAAAGGGAGCGAGAACTCCATTCAAGCAACTTTGCACCTGTTGTTCATTGTTTACAGTTAACTGTGGATGTATATGTTTAATATTTTTAATATTTCTCAAATAAACAAAAAAACATTTCAAAAGCGCATTCTTATACTTTTTTTCTCCAGATTTGAAGCGTGCACCAACGTGACGGTTGAGGTGTACATGCGCTCTTACCTGACTCCATGCATCAACGACTGTGGGACGTATGGACAGTGCAAGCTCCTGCGCACCAACAACTACCTTTATGCTGCGTGTGAATGCAAAGCAGGTGAGCGGTTGTTCAGAGAAGCTGTTCTTCACTCGTCTGTTGGTGTCTTCCCCATATTTTACTATTTAAAGCCGAGGTTCTCTGAGAAACACGTCATACTTTTTATAGAACATTTTGATTTGTCTCACTGAGAGTCACATACAGGCTGAACGTGAAAGTTGTCTTCAATCCCTGGTTCCTGACTTTTCCGCCAGAGGAAAATACACAGGGAACACCGTGAAGCGACCGTGAAAGCTGCTGATTTAGCTACCAGGAGAGAGCAGAGCAGAGCAGGTAGTAGAAGCTAATCATTAGCATTAGCAACTCCATAACATTGCATTTTTACCCAAGAGCTAAAGAAGGCAGTGAGAGGAGGCAGAAGAAGAGCTACATTGCCGTTAGCCAATCAGAGGCGAGATATACGCTTAGCATGAAAATCAATGAGTAAGGCTCCAAATCCAGCCAGTTTCCCCCTTCCTTTCCTCCAGCTAAATTCTATTTCCTGAAACAGGAGCACAACGATATTTTTTCCACGCAGAACAAATCACAAGGAATTCGTTCACACCCGACACCAAGCAAATTCATCCATCCATTTTCATCCGCTTATCCGGAGTCGGGTCGCGGGGGCAGTAGCCTAAGGCGAGAGGCCCAGACTTCCCTCTCTCCAGCCACTTGGGCCAGCTCCTCTGTGGGAATCCCAAGGCGTTCCCTGGCCAGGTGAGAGACGTAGTCCCTCCAGCGTGTCCTGGGTCTACCTTTAGGCCTCCTCCCGGTTGGACGTGCCCGTAAAACCTCACCAGGGAGGCGTCCAGGAGGCATCCTGACCAGATGCCCGAGCCACCTCAACTGGCTCTTCTTGATGTGGAGGAGCAGCGAATCTCCTTCGAACTCCTCCCAGATGACCGAGCTTCTCACCCTATCTCTAAGGGAGAGCCCAGCCACTCTTCAGAGGAAACTCATTTCGGCCGCTTGTATCCGTGATCTCGTTCTTTCGGTCACTACCCAAAGCTCGTGACCATAGGTGAGGGTAGGAACGTAGATCCACCGGTAAATCGAGAGCTTCTGACTCAGCTCTCTCTTCACCACGACAGACCGGTACAACACCCGCATCACTGCAGATGCAGCACCAATCCGCCTATCGATCTCACGCTCCAGTTTTCCCTCACTCATGAACAAGACCCCGAGATACTTAAACTCCTCCACTTGGGGCAGGACCTCATCCATATATATATATATATGTATATATATATGTATATATATATATATATATATATATATATATATATATATATATATATATATATACACAAATAATTTCTAATTAGGTCAAGTAGATGTCTGACCTAATTAGGTCGATGCTAATTACTAATTAGCATCAAATAATGTGAATGACGTGCAAATGAATCAATGTTTTGAGTTAATTTATTGAGGACAGATACACATCACCACTTTTATGAATGTATTTGATGCAGAGTCACATAAAAACTGAAGTAAATTTGAACTATTTAAGTAGGTACTGGTAGCTAATGGTGTTCATCTCCTAATAACAGCTGTTTTTAAAAGACAATAAAACTTAATTACAACAGCCTTTCAGTAAACGATGAGCTCATGCAGCTTAAGAAAAGTATTTCCTGTCTTTGATGTTTTTTCTTTTCTTGTTGAAACCAGTTTTTATTTTCCTTTCTTAAACTCGTTGTCATACTTCACGTCTGTCTCTGCCTCCTGGCAAGCCCTCAGCGCTTCTCTTGGCTTGTCTGACTCTGCAAAACCGGTGTTCACAAATATTCAATCCAGGCTAGAGACATAAAAACATGTTTTTTGGAACAACTGGCGTTCCACACCGTTTTATTTACCTGCCACCTGTAAAGGAACCCAATCAAGAGGAAGTTCTTTTGTATCTATTGTCTAATTTGAATAAACTTTAAATATTTTCTAGTATTTGGCAAAAGTTTATTTCTCAATAATGGATGAGTTGAGTAAAAACGCAGCTAGAGGACCTCCTCCCGTGCAGGACTGATGGTGTCTTTGTGTATTTATTAGGCTGGAACGGCTGGGGATGCACCGATAACTCCGAAGCCTACTCCTACAGCTTCCAGCTCCTCTCCACGCTTCTGCTCTGCCTCAGTAACCTGATGTTTGTCCCGCCGGTGGCCATCGCCATCCGGAGCCACTACCTGCTGGAGGCTTCCGTCTACATCTTCACCATGTTCTTCTCCACCGTGAGTCACTTCATCACGATCAAACCCGTGACTGAAGTTCATATCTTTGCATCTGAAACGAGCACAAAACAACCAACAAGCTGCTGCTGATTTATATCCAGCATCTGTCTAACGAGACATGAGATAAACGGAGTCAGTCGCTGTGAATGAGAGAAGCGCTCTGATTGTGATCGTCGTCGTTTAAGGATGTGTGCCTGGCTCGTTTGTGCTGTGGATGAGCTCAAAGCTGAACCAGAGAGGCGATGCAGTCCAAACCTCTGGTGCTGGCGTCATGCTGCTCTGCTGATCGACAGTTGATGATGAATATGCAGGAAGGAGATGAGGATAAAGAGCTAAATTATAATTGCAATTGTAATAAGTATAAAACAGCTTTTTAGGAATGCAACAATGTTAACAAAACAGGCAAATAACCACAAAAAACAAGTCTTTAAAAGACTAAACAGGTTATTAGTTTAGATTAAAACGGTCATGGTGGGGTTCAGGCGTCTAACCCACGACATACAGAATCAGGACTGAGTCAGAGTAGTGGTAAAAAGTATTTATTACAGAAGAAACTGAGGTTGCAGCATAAAGTGAGCTGATCCCGTTGGTTGATTCCGGTACGTGGGGAAGTCTGGAGACGGAGGAGAGTTAGAATCAAGAGGGGGTGGGGGTGGGGGCTGAGAGACAACAGGTCGGTAGTCCAAGGTATCCAGTCGAGAATGAGCAATGAGAATGAGGCCTGGAAATAGAGCAGGAGGTCAAAGGCAAAGTCAAATCCAAAAAATCCAAATATAGGTCAAAATCTCAAAATTCCATTGGTTCAAGAGCTCGAACGTAATCAAAGGGTGGCTGTCAGAAGGTACCCAGGTGGAGTAATCATCCAGCGAAGTGTAGATGTCTCTCAGCTGCTTAAATACATCTGGCCGGCTGATGAGCAGATCTGCTGCAGCTTGGTCAACCTCCAGACACGCCCACCTGCAGAGGGAAAGCTCAGAGACGGAGAGTGACAGCAGAAAACACCTCAGATCGTGAGAAAATCCACTGAATTAAAATTGGTTTTTAAAAGAAATATTAATGCTTTAGGTATTAGTTCTGTGGTTGATATAAAATATGTTAATGAAGTTATTTAAATTAAATCCATCTCACTTAAAGCGATTTTAGCCGTTTTATTTTTGACTATTTCAGTACCTGCCAGAATGAGCCGCTTCAGGGCTCTGTCGCGGACTAGAGCTGCTGCTCATCCAGCAGTATGTGAGCAAAAATCTCCCGTAAGAGCTGTGTACGTATTAGCAGTTAGCTTAAAGCTCCTAATGTGCACTCATCTCATAGGAAAACAGTGGCTGTAGTCATCCCCAAGTGCACTGTAAAAACAAATGTTCAAATAAAAAACTCATTAATTCTTTTGTAACAAATAAATGGTTAAGGTTAGGGTAATAGCACGCTCTTAGGGTTCTACAACCCCCCAAGGCACTTCACAACACAATCAGTCATTCACATGCTGGTGGTGATGAGCTGCAGTGTAGCCACAGCTGCCCTGGGGCGCACTGACGGAGACGAGGCCGGCTGAACACTGGCGCCACCGGTCCCTCCGACCACCACCAGCAGGCTAGGCGGGTTAGTGCCTTACCCAAGCACACAACAGCAGCGTTCTCTGGTCGGGATCGAACCTGCAACCTTGTGATTACTGAACAACCCGCTCAACCTCCTGAGCCGCCGCCGTCCCGTCGATAAGCAGATGCTTCACTTTTCTGTCTCTCCCCTCAGTTCTACCATGCTTGTGACCAGCCGGGTATCGTGGTGTTTTGTATCATGGAGTACGACGTCCTGCAGTTCTGTGACTTCCTCGGGTCGCTCATGTCGGTGTGGGTCACCGTGATCGCCATGGCGAGGCTGAAGTCCATCATCAAGCAGGTGTGTGTTTCTGTTGTCATTCTAACCTGTAAAGATTCAAGACGAGACACATTTCACCTGACTAACTCAGACAGACTTTTACATTTTCTCATGATTATGAGTCGTTATACTGCTGCGAGGGTCTCTAACTCTGTCCATCTTTCATATTTCATGCCTAAAACACAAACTTTAGTTTTCCTTGGTGAATCTGACAAAGTCGTATCTACCTACTGCTGTAACACCAGGCAGGCGTGTAGAGATTAGAGGTCAGCAGAG